TCTGTTCTTGTAACAGATACCCAAAGTCAGATTTTCTTTTAACTTAATATGAAAATCTATAATGCAGTCAGCATGATGCTTCTTGGTATGCTTATCTTTATACTCCAATTATTTGTTTTGTTCTCAACATCTCCTTCCATTGAGATGGAATTTTCTATACCACCTGTGTATGAGGAGTGAATAGGACTTAAGGACTATGGGATCAAGACAGAGGTCAGTTGGGGTTTTTGTTATCTGAGTGGAAATGGGCACCATTTACAGCTGTGAATTAACACACTAACTGGTCTTTTCCATAGAATAATATTTACATTGCAAAGTTGATATTTTTAAGCCACTCTCTTTAGGTTTCAGTATTACCAGGCTTTAGAGTCCAGTGAAGTATTTAATTTCTCATTACACTTAATGCTTCACCTTCTGTCTCCAAACTCAGAAAAAAAAATATTTATTGTTTCAGTAATATTCTGACAATATTTTATTATTTTTCTCTGACGCCAAAGGACAAAAATAATTTAATTTCCCCAGCATGAAGATACTGCCATGAATCCCAGCTCTGTGGAGGGAGCTGCTCTACAGGAGTGCTCGAGAGCCTCTTCCCTGTGTACAGACTCCCTCGGGCTCCTAATTCCTCTGTGTCTCCCAGCTTTGATTCCTCCTTTCTCTTTGCCTTATTTTTCCTTTTGACTACTTTTCTATGCTCTAAGGTCAAGGGTTTTCCCTATGGAAGGAAAAAGTTTAGCCTTTCCTAGTCTTTCCCCCACCATTTGGCCACCCAGCATCAGCAGCCCCACAGCAAGGCTGGCAGTGCTTGGGCACACAGGCAGGACCAGCAGCGAGGGGCTCCCCAGTCCCCTCACCTGCCTGCACGTGAGCAGGTAGGGTGTGCACCCATCCTGGTGCTGCCCTTCTGCACTGTGACAATGTGCTGGAGCTTTCTGTCTGAGGGAGCTCGGGGAGGGGAGAGGGAAAAAGGCTGTTAGATCTATCGCTGGCAATTTAGATTCAGAGACATTTCATCTGCAGTTCCCTCAAGTGTTGAATTGAATAAAACCAGAGCAGCAGTGGAAAAGGAGGTGGGGGAAGGGCTCCAAGCACTCTTAGCTAAACAAAAAGAGACAGGCAGCTCATAAAAAAGGAATTGCACCCTTGAGTTGAGAGTCTGGATTCACAGGGCAGGGAGGAGGCTGCGTGGCAGAGCCCATCCATGGGCAGGGGCCAGGCAGCACTGCTGAGGGCTTCTGGCACTCCTGCAGCCAGAGCAGATCACAAGGCTCATTTCTGGGTTTCCTGATTTTCTGTTGATTTTTTGAAGCCCCTGTTGTAAAATCAAGCAGGAAGAACAGAATCTCAGGCTTTGGTTGCAATTAAAAAAAAAACGTATTCTTCACTTTCCAGTGGTTCAGGAGAAAAGCACAAAAGCAAAACTCTCAAGGGTCAAAATTTCAGAAGTAACTTTCTGTTGGGGGCCAGACTCATCATTCCCAAATGCAGCTGTGAGGTGGTAGAACTGTTCTCACATTAGGTATTTTTGTTCCTCTGCCTTTGAGGGAATGGCTGCTGGTGGCTGCTCTGGCCATGCACTGCAGCACCTGGATTTCTCTGGCTCTGTCCTATTCCCCAGGTGTCAGGTGAGGATGGTTTCACAGGAGCACTCATCCTGGCCAAGGCTGGAGGAGAGCCACAGCCACCAGAGAGAACTGGGTCACAGCAGGCAGGGGTCTCTCCTGCCTTGGGGGGGTGCGGTGCCAACGCCCCCGCGGTGCCACAGGGGTGGCTGTGGCTTCCTGCAGGTGGGAAGGCAGAGCTTTTATTTGCCCCCCTCCCCACCTTCTTTCCTGCCCCTCTGCTCCCTTGTTACATGTTAGTGGCAGATCTGGTGCCTTACCCTTTGCTCAGCCCTGCTTCGGAACAGGTACAGGTGTGCATACAAAGGGCACGTGCTCAGCCCTGCTTCAGGGCAGGCCAGGCTCCACAGCCAAATCCTGACCAGCACTGAGGTGACCCTGTGCTACACATGGGCAACCTGGGCAGGTGTGTGGCACAGGCCTGATGGCAACTTGGCCAAGTGTTGTGTTTGCATTACAGTGTTCCCTGCCTTTGTGGTGCACCTGCAGAAACACGTGAAACACAAAGGTAAGACCAGGGTGAGGAGCTGGGACTCCTCAGGACAGCACCGGCATCTTCCCTTCAAGTGATTTCAGCTGTAAAACAGGGGTCATGATTCCTACCTGTGTCACCAGAATTTGGGAGTCTGATTAGCCACATCCTGTAAAAGACTGAAGCAGCCTTACTGTAAATCCTGGACCAGAGACCACAGAGCAGGAGAGGCTGTCTCACAGGCATGTATTTATGCTGCCCTGTTTCCCTGTGCTATCGATCCAGCGGCTTGCTAAGATACAGCCCTGCCTGCTGTAGTGGTCTAATTCATTTTTAAGCATCATTATTTTTCATGTTGTGGTCTTCCCCTGCTTCGGGTGCTTCTCCCCACCCCTCCCCAGAAATGCCCATTGCTGTCTGTCTCTAGGCGTGAGATGCTCCCACATGTGTGTGTGCATACCAGGGAGATGGAGAGGCAGCTTCAGCTACACTAAGCAATTAAACTCCAGTAGCTCAGGGATGAGCAGGAGGCCGTGATTTTCTTTTCCTTTGCAGTAATTGCCTCTGCAATCAGCTTTGATCACCCGAGAGCAGAAGAGATGAGTGCTGCAAGTTGACATCAGTGGTTTTAATATATCCATTTACATATACAGGAGCAGTGCAGCATACAGCTTTCCACAGCGCCTCTGACCTGAAACCATCGCCGCTCCATAGATACCTCATTTAATTTAATACTCCACCACGCTGCGGAAGCCGTACGGTGGGGATGGGAGGGGGCATAATCAAGCCCTCACTCTCTCTCTCTCTCTCCGTGCATGTCTGTAAAAATGACATGAAAGTAATTGCTTTTGAAAAGCAAAGCAGAAATGGCACAATTGATTCCACTTAAATGAGAGGAGAAGGGCTGGGGGTGGGGGATGCTCACCCTAAACATGCCACCTCCCTTCCTGCTGCAAGCACATCGCTGCGTGGGGCTGCGCTGGGACACAAGAAAGGTGGGCTTGTCTGGGTGGCAGGGGAAGGAGGGAAGCTGGGGCAGGCAGTGCTGCTGTGGGCAGGATGCACCCCTGGGTGACCTCGGACCCACAGGCAGAGGCTGTGGAGACACATGCCCTGCTGTCACAGGCACTCCTGGTGCCCGAGAGCGGGCAGGCAGCTTCAGTGCACTGAAAATCCCAGAATCACCTGCCTGCCAAGCCCACTCACCTGCCTGGCAGCTGGGAGAGGGGGATGATGAGAGGGAGGCATCAGCTCCTCTCCATCTCTAATGTATCCCTGTTGACAAAGCTCTGTGAGCCTATGATTTTGGAATCCATCCAGTCTCCTGGTGCTGCTGGATGCTCACCCTTCTGCCAAGGACCTCCCAGTGCCTCCCTGTGACCTGGCACACCACTCAGCCCTCCCATCAGTGGAAGCCAGGACCTGGCACCATGGGCTGTGCACTGCCTGTGTGTGCTGAAATACATCTTTAATGTAGACATTAACATGATTTCATGTTAATTACATGCAAATTGATTATTAGTATATTTATTGAATGTTGACATCAGGGTGACAGTCTTCAATAAATATGTTTTACTAATCAGTGAGCATTAATTAATATTGAAATCCTCTGTAGGTTTAGCAAGTCAGTGAACATTCGTGAGGCCCCTCTGTTGCTGCCAGTGTTGCTGGATGTTGGCAGTGTTGCTGGCAGCACTCAGCTGTGCCTGGCAGCACTGTGGAGCACAAGTGGGCCCAGGAGGTCCAGGGGCAGTGGCAGTGCTGGAGGACAGATGGACACATGCCCCAAGAGAGAAGCTTCAGGGAAACATTGCTCTTGGGAGAACCCCCCATGCAGCAGGGCCTGCCTGAGGGCAGGGGGGCTGCCAGCTGGAGCCAAGGTGGTAGTGGCCAGGCAGTGCTTGCAAGAAGCTCTGGAGACCCCTTTCTCCAGGACACAGGGCTGCTTGCGGGTATATCTGAGCAGCAGAAGGAGGATGCTGCTCTCACCTGCACGCAGGACCCTTGGTCATGGCAGGGCAATCCCCTGCCAGCAATGCAGAGGAGTTTGTATGCTGCATTTAAACCACCAAGCCAAAGACCAACTCCTAAGCTGCCTGGGCAGCATTTTCTCTTGCCTCCCCATCCTTAGCAGGGCAGGAGCCATACAGTGCCTGCTGACTGTGCCTTCTCTGGCCCATCACAAGAAGATGAGCAAGCGTCCCTGAGGAGTAAATGGCCAAGGTAGCAGGGAGAGTGGCTCCATGCTGGGGTCAACACTTGAGTCTTGTCATGCTGATGCTCCTTGGTTGACAGTTATGATTCTTCCCTGCTTCCACCTTGTGCAAACACCTTAGAGCTGGAACACCAAGCAATGAATATGCTGAACCCTTAGAGCTGCCCCTATTCAGACAGATGGACAGGCTGTGGGGTGCCTGAGCCCCTTCTGCTCTGCGGACAGCAGACACAGGGAAAATGCCTGAAGAGCTCAGCATGCAGCTGCAACAGGAGCTGGGTGTTTGGTTACTGGTTAGAATAATTTTGGTCTTGCTCAGCTGCTCTTTGCTTCCCTCACTGCGGGGGTCTGACACCCCTCCTGCGAGCAGAGGCAGGTGCCCCAGCCAGCAGGGTTTCTGCTTTCCTGAGCTGGACATGTCTGCCTGCTGCGGGCAAGCATGTCAAATCACACCTACCATATTGGCTTCCTGTCCCCAGAACATCAGATTTTTGCAGCTAATGTGTGGGGGGTGTCTCCTCCTGCCAATCCCCACCCCCAGCAGCATCAGGTCTGTGCTGTTCAGGGTTTTGTTAAGCCGTTTAGTATTAATTGATTTTTTTTTCCATTTTTTCTTTCTTTCCCTGGGCGGGTCAATAGCTGGATGCTCAAGAGCAGAGGATCTATCAACTGCAGACCAAGCAGAGGGAGAGGCAGGCAGACCTGGAGCAGAAATGCAGCCAGAGCAGCAGCTCAGCCAGGACCTGGGGGCCAGCCACCAGCTACGGAAGGGAGCTTGGAGCAGGTAGGAGAAGATACCAGTCCACTCGAGCTCAGCAGCCCAGGCGGAGAAGGGAACTCTATTTGCTGCATTCATAGCAGTAATAATAATCTGCTGCTCTTGTTTACATGGCAGCATAAGGAAGGGCTGAAGATGTGACAGTAGAATCTGTCACCTCCCAGTGAGGAGGGAAGATGGGAGGCAGCAGGGAGATGGCTACAGCTGTGCTGGCTGTGAATGGGTGGTGGGATTTCAGTGGCTGTGGGGGTGTGATGGCTGTCATGCACAGATGTTGTGGGTGTTGCTCTGCTGCTGACCTTGGAGAGACAAGAAGAGGATGGCCACAAAAACACTGCCTCAGGGCAGAGCTGTCCTGGCTCGTGGTGACATTTACATGCTGTGTGCCAGGAGATTAGGATTGCTCAGACCTGTTCAGCCATGCTGCTGTAGACAAAACCCTCAGCTTGCTCCTGGACATCAGGGTGGGAGCACCCTTGTTCCTGCTGCAGGCCTGCTGGGCAGCCTGTGCCACTCTACCCCATGCTGGGTCTGTTTGCCCCTGCCCCGCCGCCCACCCCTGTATTTCAAAAGCTGTAGAGTCAGATCCTTTGTTCAGTGTGCTCCCGAGTGTGAGCCTGGCTTGGGAAAGCACATTGCTCCCACCTCTGCAGCCATCAGGCTGTCTGCCACATGGCAAACAAGGATGAGGAGAGCTGATCCTGGAAACCTGGGGAACTCCTGCAGCTGCACACTGCAGCATTACTTGCTTAACCTGGTATCCACTTGCCATTCCCTTCAGCACCACACAAGCCATTAAAAAAATGTGTCTATTTTAACAACTTGCTAGTGAAATATGCTTGGGGTTCTGGTAGAATAAACGAGGTACTTATGACATTGGAGCACCAGGTACCAGCATATTGGATGCTCAGCACCGCTGGTTTGTCTAAAGCAGCTCAGAGGACAGCATTTAAAATAGAGTTGGGGGGGTGTCCCCCTTATTAGTCAAAGTGGAGACATTTTGTTTCATTTGATGTGGTGATGATAAATATATTCCTATCAATATGTTCATATATCTATATCTATTCTATATCATATATGTTCATATATCGATACATACATTGCAATATACATGAACACAATGCACTGATTACATTTATTGAATTTGAAGGAAAGTTACAAGGTGTTGTTCTATTTACTCACACATCATCCGTTGTTTTGTGTGTGAGGAGTCAGCCCAGCATATGGGCTGAGCTGTGCGTGGCAAGCTTGCATTCCAACTGCCCACAGTGAAGGTGGGAGCAGGATATGTGTGCCTTTGTCTGTGTTTGTGGATGGTAGCAGATGGATGAATGTGGGAGAGGGTCAGCATGTGCCTTTGTTTTGTTCTGCATATGCATATGGATGATTGTGTGTTGATTTGTGCAAAGACAGCATGGCAGGGTAGGAATGATACTCTGCTTCTTCCCTTCCCTTCCCTTCCCTTCCCTTCCCTTCCCTTCCCTTCCCTTCCCTTCCCTTCCCTTCCCTTCCCTTCCCTTCCCTTCCCTTCCCTTCCCTTCCCTTCCCTTCCCTTCCCTTCCCTTCCCTTCCCTTCCCTTCCCTTCCCTTCCCTTCCCTTCCCTTCCCTTCCCTTCCCTTCCCTTCCCTTCCCTTCCCTTCCCTTCCCATCTCTCCACCCACTGATACCAAATTCAGCTGAGCCTTGCTGTTGGTTTCAGTGTGAAAGTGGCAGATAAAACAGCCTAGCTCTCAACTTCCTCTTACAAACCTCCCAATTAAGCATCAACCCTTGTTATATATAAATATAACACTATTCTGTGGCAGAACAGTGTTCCACCTGGCTCAGTGTCTGGCAGCAGTTTATGGCCTTGTCTAGGAAAGAGCTTTTTCCCCTGGGAAGAACAGGGGAAGCTTGTGAAATTCACCAAAATGCTCAGGCACCTTCTGTGGTGAAGGGGCTTCCTGAGCCCAAGGGGGAGCCTTTGTGTTTAACAGCCCTTGAGGAATTTTCATCCATTACTTGTCAAACTAATTCTGTAACTCAGATCTTATCCAGCTTCTGCAAAGTCCTGTAGCAGTGAGTTCCCCTGTTTGACCATGCTTGGATAAGAAGACACCTCCTTTGGCTTGTTTTGAGCCTGTCCCCTGACAAATTCCACTGTTTTCTTGGAAAAGGCCACAACAGTCGCTCCTTAATCACCTTCCTATGACACTTCTGATTTATAAGTCTTTGTCATGTTTTCTTCCCAACACCCTTCTTCTAGATAGAAGGACTCCAATGTATTTTTCTGAGCCAATCCCAGCTGCTGATGCATTTCCTGTTGGGGGACCCTGGACCTCCTAAGGCTGGTGGTCCTGGCTCCCTGCAGCAGGCAGCAGGACTCCTGTGCAAGGAGTGCCAGGTGTAATTTAGCACTGGGAGCATGAGCTGTGGTCCTGCCCTGTACAGAAAGACTGGCAGCACTGCTTGTCAGCCCAGTCCCCCACCTGATCACGAGCTCTCCTAGTGGATGAATTAAGATTTGGCGTATCATCGTTTAATACAGCCCCCATGCTAATGTCTTTTTGAAATGAAACTGAGAAAGCTGTTAACCTCGGTTAGCCAGCTGTCCTCACCGTGACCTGGATAAATCATCCAAGCAGGAGCACCGGAGAACAGTGCTCTGGCTGTTTTGCAAAACGGAGTTGGAAGGGAAGGTCTGTGCTTCCAGCTCATGCCATGAAGACTCCTCTGCACCAGGGGTGTGCAGCAAAAGGACCCGTGTGTTCTTACACCAGAGACCCTGATGGGGCTCCAGGCTGTGTGTGCACTGGTACAGCCCCTCCCCTGGCAGCTGCTGAGGGGTCACAGTGTAACACCACAGGTGGGAAAAGGTGATGTGTTGTGTCTGGAGAAGAGAGGATGAATTCCCACAGGGACTCCAGGTTCCCTCTGCTCCTGCCATTGGGCAGGTTTCAACATCCAGCCCTTCTTCGTGACCGTGTGGTTTTCCACATTCCTTCCCTTCAGCTGGGGGTTGGATTTTCCCCGGAGATGTCTCCTTCACCACATTCTGAAGGCAGCTGGCCTTGAGCTGGGAAAAGAGATGAAGAGGACACTTTGGTGGCTGCTGCCAGGACATATGGATCTACAGGAGCAGGGAATTTCTCTCCATGAGCTGTTTTGACATTGGAACCTGCTATCTTTATAAAGGCCTCATTACTTCATCTGCTTTCACAGGGCATCTGCTCTCACAGCTACTGCTCTGTGTGGCAAGGACTTCTACTAGACAGGGTGATTTCTTTTGTGATTTCTCATCTGGCTACTTTGTTGGGGGTTGGGTTTTTGGTTTTTATTTCTGTACGACTGAGGGAGATCACAATATCAGCTGTGTGTAAGAAACTCCTGGAAAAAGGGAAAAAAGCCATCTGCTTTCTATGTCCATTGCAGGAACACTCAAGAACTACTGGCCAGAGCCTCCATCAGGAAACATTTGGATTAGGAACAGTTTTCTAAAGGGAAGGAGAACAGAGCAGGTGAGCAGACTGCGAGGGCCCAAGGATCCTGCTCACAGGAGAGCTTTAAGGACAGACACACAATATGCAGGGTACTTCTAGGTTCCCCTGTCTCAGAACTGGAAGACAGACTATCAGTCTCTTGATGTTCACATCAGCATTGCTCATTTCCTAAATGTATCCCTGCTCCTACCTGGTAATACAGCTCTGCCTTTCCCAGAGCCCCACCACAGTCTCCTGCGGTGTTTTCCCTTTTACTGCCAGCCTGCCTGGTTCCAGGTTCCCCAGGAGGCTGTAACACATGCTGAAAAGGAGCAGGCAGAGCCTGGAGGAGGTCACTGGGTGATGGAGGCTCCAATCCCACCATCTGCATTACATGTCCTGCTGTGCCACAGGCTTTGGCCAGAGTCCCACCCATGGTGGGGAACACATGAGTGGATGAGGCAGAGATAGGAGCGTAGATACGCTATCAGAACTTTTGGATTCAATTTCCCTTCTCAGCAGAATAGCTGTGTGCAGTTTCTTACATGTGCTGCTCTGCAAATGAGCTGTGCAGGGCATGGCTGCAGTCAGAGACCACCTGGAGAGCATGATCTGCTTGGAGCATGCAGTTTGGCCGTGCAGGGCTGGCACAGGCAAGGGCAGGCTCTGGCTGATGGACAGAGCTGGCCTCAGCTCCTCAGGGGCTGTAGGAGTCTGCTGCCCTTTGCCTTGCCCCACAGTAGGAGAGCAGCCACAGAGCATTCACAGAGCGGGGAGGAATGGTCACAGGCATAATACCCTGTACCCTATGTACCCTGTACCATGCACTGTATGCCACATACCAGGACTCAGAGCCCTTCACAGACACCCTGTCAACATCAGCAGAGAGACAGGGACTGAAATACATGGCCAGGACACTCAGGGGAGCCAAGGTGAGCCATGTTATTTGTGTAGACACCAGTGAGGAGCCCCACTGGATACTTGTATCTGAGAGCCAGCTCTACAGCACCGTCATTAAAGAGGGAATAAAGAAAATAATAGAGCATTGATTAAAATGGTTGGCAAGGCTGATTTCTCTCCATGCAGCCTCTGACGGAGCAGACTTTGGGGCTGGGGAGGAATAGGCAGCCTCCAGGCTGTGAGGCTAATGCAGAGCCATGGCTGTTTGTATAACTGCAAAGCTTTTAAGAGAGACTTGGGAAAACTAGCTTGGATTCCAATGAATATTTACAATTACACTGCTCCAAAGCTGAATCCAATCACAGCACTGCAATGTGCAGGCTTCGTGCATCAAAAGAAAATGAGAGGAAAACAGGAAAGATGGAGTTGCCTTTGGAGGGACTTACAAACACAGATCTCTCTGCTTCTGGCAGAACTAAAATGCTTTATTTCTGATAGGAGCAATTTATTCTTCAGGCATTTTGCTTGATATTAGAAAGTGCCTGGCTGGTTTTTGAAGTGAGTGTCTTCAATAGAAAGTCTTTAATTCAAAATGATAGCAAGAAATGGAAAATGTTGTGCTTTGTAATTTTGATATTGTGCTAACAAACTCCAGAAATAGGGGAGCATTACCCAACTGGAGCAGGGGCCCCTTCCACTCCCTTCCACTGTGTTATTGATCACCATGTAGAAGCAGGCTGCGTATTTAAACCATGCTGCTAACATGGAATTTGGCTGGTTACTATGCTGGTTGAGCGTTCACTACTGCTCAGTATTGGCCTCTTCATTCTTGCAGTAGAAGGTATGCAAAAATAATGGCGATGGGGAATTAACCTTGATAAAAAGATGGAGAATCTGTGACTGCTGAATCATTGGTGAGAGCGCTGTGTCACAAAACAGGAAGTGTGTGATGAAGCAGAGATGCTGCCTGAAGTAATAACAAAACAGCACCACACAGCTGACCTCTGTCAGCTGCTGCTCTGGTGCCTGGTCTGCACAGCCCACACTGGCCATCCTGCCCATCCTGCCCACACAGTCCATGCTGCCTGCAGCTCTTACCTACAGGACTGTAAATAGTGGCCTCGATGTGGTCCCACAGCAAGAAACACTACTGCTCTCAATTAATTTGAAGTACTTAAGGTATAGCCTTGCATTCCATCATGCAGACATTCCTTAGCACCACAGCAGCACAACAGCAGGCGCTTCAAAAGAACCAGATTAGGAGTTACACTACAACATTCAATTTGTTTGCCATGGTGTCTGCTTACAAGCACACAACTTGGGAAAGCCACCTCTGCAGTGCAAGCCCCCTCCTTCCCCACAGCACACCAGGCAGTGTGTCCCACCCTGGACAGAGGGCAGCGGGGGCTGCTTCCAGCCTGCACTAATCCCTCCGTGTGGTTTGAAGATGATGCTGTCTTCTGGTGCCTGTCACCTCGTGGATGCACAGATCTCTACTGCTGGATGGCAGTGTGAAAGGATGCTGGTGGGAAATCCCAGGAAGCTGGTTTCTGATCTGAGTCAGTCACGCTGTTGGTGCAGAGACACGCTCCATCACACGCAGGCATGGCACAGGCTGTTCCCTGCAGCTTGGCACAGGCTGGAGTCGATAGCCCTCAGCAGGAACTTGCAGTCAGTATTATACCGTCTAAGAGGCTTAAAATCAACTGTGAAGTTTCAGTATAGCTACAAAAAACCTGTTTTCTATTTCTCCACTGGTAGCTTGTTCTAGGAGAAGAGAGTGCAATTTGGTGATTGGTTCCTGGAGTCTGGTTGGTGCATCCATGCTGGGGTACAGAGGCCACAGGTCCCACAGTGCTTCCAGGAACACTCTGCCAGCCTCAGCCACCCGCAGCCCATGGGCTCCAGAAGCAGAAATGGGCTCTTGCATTCCATCAATGTGAGAGGATATTTTTCTCCCATTAAAATGTTTTATTTATTTTTGAATATATATGAGCTTTGGAGTTGCACCACACCCTGTGTTAAGCAGTCTGACACAGCACAACATTCAAAAAATATCTGGTTCTTGCTTTTTTTGTTATTACCTACTAATTTATGGGGTGCTACCGGTTCTTACATTGAAGGGATGACGAGAACTCATACTGCAGGCAAACTCTATTTGCTAAACTTTGTACTATAATCCCCTTCAGTCTATTTTTTTCCAGCCTAAAAAGACTATCCACTTTTTACTCACATGGAAAATATTCTTTGTATTTGATCATCCTTGTTGGTCTTCTCTGAAACACTTCCAAATCTTTTTCTTGAGAGAGGCAGACAGAGCTGCATATAGAAATCACAGTGCAATTTTCACTATGAATCTGTTCATTGGCAGAACTGTGATCTGCTCTCCATTATTTTCTTCATAATTGTTAACAGTCAGTTTGCCTTTTGGGCTGCTCCTGGGCACCAAACAAACGTTTCCACAGATCTATCTCTCCATCTTCATCTGATTTTATTCGAGCACAGCCCCAAGCCTAATTCCTGAGAAGGAACAGAGCTACAGCAGCTGAGACTGCAGTGAGATCTTGTGAGAAAAATGGTGCAAATGCCCCAGATCTTCAGCAAGGTTAGGACCACCTGGCTGTGTCATACCTTGGAGACTGGGGACAGCTGCTAAACATCTGAAAAAAGGAAGAAATTATATAAGGTCAGCAGACCTGGCCTCTTCCAGACAGATCTACCCTCGAGTGTTTGGCCACCTGAGGGGCTGAGTAATGCTGTGGAATGCCGATGTAGCCAGATGAGTCAGTGCTGGTGTGAACTCCTATCCAAGAGCACAAATAGCATCATGTTCTTGTGATCCTCCTCTGCATTTCCTTCCTGCAGATTCCGGGGTGAGCAGGAAGGGATTGGGCTGCCTGACCTCCAGTACCTACAGTCATGAAAATTTCCCTGTTACTCTGAAGTCAGTAACTTTTCTGACTAAGATAGCTTCAGACAGGCATTTGGCTGGGCTTGAAGACATCAAGAAATGGCAAATGCATGACATCCTCCCCTGGCAGTCAGTCCCTTCACATCACTCCTACTGTTTTGGGCTTTTTTCTCTCATGACTGCTATGCCAACAGGGCTAATGAAGCTTTCTATGCAGCAGCAATATGGTCTCTACTTTGTTTCCCTTGGGTTTTATCCTTTGTCTTAGAATACTCCTTTCTTTTTGGCCAGAGACTTAAGGTTAACCATAGAGGGAAGGGAAGGGAAGGGAAGGGAAGGGAAGGGAAGGGAAGGGAAGGGAAGGGAAGGGAAGGGAAGGGAAGGGAAGGGAAGGGAAGGGAAGGGAAGGGAAGGGAAGGGAAGGGAAGGGAAGGGAAGGGAAGGGAAGGGAAGGGAAGGGAAGGGAAGGGAAGGAAGGGAAGGGAAGGGAAGGGAAGGGAAGGGAAGGGAAGAGAAGGGAAGTGGGGGACCCTCTCTGCTTCATGTCTGTATCCCCATTACCTCCTGCCCTTTGGATGTTCTCCTTGTGCTCCCCACCACCAGTCACTTTCCATTTACCCAGCTCCCTCTCGTTTCTTGTCTCCCCTCAGGCCTCTTGCTTTTTCTTGACTCCCACACAGTGCTGCCATCACTGCTGGCTCGGAAGGAGGCCCCAGAGCTGCTGATGTGGCTGTCCAGGGGCGCTATCCCTCTTCCAGCAACTTAGTGATTGTAATTGCAAGAACCACCAATGCCTTGTGTCCTGTGACCAGACCCAAGAAGCACTGCTTTCTTTTAATTTGCTCCTTCCATTTTCCAATAGAATTTCTACTTCCTGCTGATTTCCATTTCTTGGTTCCTTAGAGGAACACATGACAGGTCCTCCAGAGCTTGTGTATGCCCTTAACTCACACAGTCAAAAAACGGAGATGCAGTTGTCAGAAGCAGCACTGGGAATGTGCCGTGATGGTGTGAATACACAGCAGCACCGGCAGCGGGCAGGAGGCAGCCCCAGGGACCGCTGCACACCTGTGGGCTCCCTCCTGTGCCCGTCTGCGCCTGACCCTGGAGGGACGTGTTTAAACACAACCAGGCTAGCCCTGGGTGGCCTCTTCTGGCCGACGCTGCTGGGGCAGGACAGGGGGATGAGCCAGGTGACCCGGTGTTTGACCAGGGGCAATGTCAGGGGCTGGCTCCTGGGTGACGGGTGGGCCTCCTCACGCACCAACACTCCCCACCACGAGGTTTCCTGGGAACATGTGGTAGCTGGAGGAGTAGAGCAGAGGCAAAGCACTGATGTTCACTCTGGGATGTGTCATGGCCTTTCAGCTTCCACTAGAAAGACAGCAGGGCAGAGCAGGTCCCGACCCATTATTGCTACTGTGGCTGTTTTCCCCTTCTGTTTTTACACATCCAGTTTCCTCTCTCTCTCTTCCCTCTCCCTAGAGCTGCTGTGGTTTTTAATAAGTATTTTTCAAGTAGCTGGCTGAGACCCTCACAAGGATAATGAGATCATTCGCACCGCAGAATGCAGAGCCCTGCAAGTCCCGATGGCTATCGCTCCCGGTGGACTGTGCCCACAGTGCCTGTATTTCTGTCGCTGTTCCTCATCCCAAACACAGCAGCGTGCCCCGGGCAGTACCGGATGGGATCGGCCGGGGTACGGCTCCCTGCCAACACCATGAATTGTCACTGGAACCGCTCAGAAATAACCTTTAAGGCTTATTAAGATTCTGCCGACGGAGACGTCGATCTCGCTTTCCCGCTCATGAATCCCATTCCCAGTTCAAGACCTGCCAGCGCTCCGCCTGCCCCGGGTTGAGGCTGAGCTGCGGCGGGAGCAGCGGGCAGACCCGGCACGGGCACTCCTGCTCCGGGCACTCCTGCTCCGGGCAGCCGCGGCCCGGCACTCCCTGCACCTGCTCCCCCGGCACGGGCACCCCCATCCCTGGGACAGCCCCGCTCTGGGAACCTCGGCTCGGCAACGCCGGCCGGGAACCCCCGGCCCAGCCCCGACCGGGACCGCGGCAGAACAAAGGTTCTGAGGAGTGCTTAGGGCGTGCCCGGGGGGTGCTTGGTGGTGCAAGGAGGGTGCCCAGACGGTGCTCGGGGATGCTCGAGGGGCGCCCGGAGAGGTTGCTCGGGGGATGGCCGGGGGATGCTCGGCGGGCGTGCGGGGGTGCTCGGTGCGGAGCCGCCCTCACGGGCAGCGCCGCGCGGGCCGAGAGCGACCCCTGCCGGGCGGGAACGAGGCGGAGCGGGGCTTGACAGCGCGCATGCGCGAGCTGCCGCCGCAGCCGCCCGGCACTGCGGACTCCCGGGGCAGCCCCGGCACCCCGAGCCCCGCTCCGCCCACCGCAGCTCCCCCTCAGCCCCTTGGGGCACCGCAGCTCCCCCTCAGCCCCGCTCCGCCCACCGCAGCTCCCCCTCAGCCCCTTGGGGCACCGCAGCTCCCCCTCAGCCCCGCTCCGCTCACCGCAGCTCCCCCTCAGCCCCTTGGGGCACCGCAGCTCCCCCTCAGCCCCGCTCCGCTCACCGCAGCTCCCCATCAGCCCCTTGGGGCACCGCAGCTCCCCCTCAGCCCCGCTCCGCCCACCGCAGCTCCCCCTCAGCCCCTTGGGGCACCGCAGCTCCCCCTCAGCCCCTTGGGGCACCGCAGCTCCCCCTCAGCCCTGCTCCGCTCACCGCAGCTCCCCCTCAGCCCCTTCGGGCACCGCAGCTCCCCCTCAGCCCCGCTCCGCTCACCGCAGCTCCCCCTCAGCCCCTTCGGGCACCGCAGCTCCCCCTCAGCCCCTGTCCACCACTGCTACAAGGTGCCCGGAGCAGCTGTGGCTGCCGCATCCCTGGCAGTGTCCAAGGCCAGGCTGGACGGGGCTTGGAGCACCCTGGAAGGTGGAAGGTGTCCTTGCCCATGGCAGGGGTGGAACAACATGAGCAGATGGGGAGTCCTGGCTCAGGACAGCGGAGCAGTGAGGACCTCATTAAAGGACCAGCATCAGTGTCTGCTTTGGGATCAGGGGCTGATAGGTGGACAGAGCTGGAAATGTGCCATCCAGACTTGGTTCCAAGTGGCCATGGATGGCCCATCCACAGTGTTCACTTGCTCTGCCAAGGGGTAACCATTTCTCTGTGCTGAATTGCAGTTTCAGTTTGGTTTGTGTCATCTCACAGACATCAGACCGGGGTGCACTTCTGCCTGCTGATACAAGAGCCTCGTCTGCTCTGTTCCCACTTTCATCTTGCATTCTGATGTGTGACCAAACTACGCCTTGCTCTGCACTAAACCCCTCACAGAACAGCACTTGAGTTGTGCAGTGCCCATGACTCCTTCTGGAACCTTTCCTAGAGCTCCATGGTCCCCCTGCACAAGAGCACTGGCAGCACACAGGTTCCCGCAGCCACGAAGGGCCGTGCCACCACCGCAGCTGGATGTTTGGCCGCACGAGCAGCCACCAGTTGTCCCACACGCTACTGGGATGTACCAGTGCAGCAGCTGCTGCATGAGCTGCTTGTGCATTCATGTAAGTACAAACAAGACCTTAAGTCATGTATTCTTTGGCTCATCTCTGTGAAACAGGGATCACAGCACTTGTTTTGCACAGGGGCCCTGCAGTTTGGTTCATGATTATCAAGTGGTTTGAGCTCCTGTGATGGAAGATACTGGAGATGGACAAAGGGGCACCAATGGCCTAAAGCTGATGGAGGCCCAAGCAGTGGTCTCACCCAGCTGCCCTGTTTGCTAATCCAAGTGTGTAATCAGCACATACGGGCAACATGTTGGCTTGGGCTGTGTCACATAGCAGCTCAGAACCCTCTCACTGTGAGCTCATGCACCCCAAAGAAGGGTGATTGGTGTCTGCGCAGCCACCAAGGATGGGTGACGTGCAGGGGAGGACGGAGCTGGTGGTGGCATGGTCACGAGATGGGTGTCATTGACACACAGCCATGGCACAGGGAACATGCAAACCTCCTTCCACCCCAGCCACTCTGCCCTCCAGCTCTCCTGAATGAAGTCCCAGCTTTGTTTTTCTGATTTCCATTTTGTATCCTAAAATATTCACTCCAAGTTCCGCTTGACAGACATGCCTAATCTAATCTCCATGTCTGCTTTCTAATTTTCGCAGCCAGGATAAAACAAATTGGCTGGCGTTAATTGCCTGTGCAGCGGCCTGGAGCTCTGAGCCGTGATTTACGAGCTTGGAGCAGGCGCTCTGCAACACATTTTTCTTAATTTATTTTTAATGAGTCTCTCAATTAATTTTCTTGGAAACATCTTAATGATGTTGGAGGCGGATGTTAATGAGGTTTGTAGCAGCACCTCATTTTGCATATTTTAACGTACTGAATGGCATGAAGCAAAATCCTGGTCCTAAAACAGAAAAAACCTTAAGACTGGAGAGGACTCCTGGGCTGACATTGCTGCCCGCCCTGGCTTGAGGCTGAGGCACTGCATAGGCTAGTTGGTGACTTTGAACATTGTGAGGCTGAAGCTGGGTGAGCCCACAGGGATGGCAGGACCCTGGCAGCATGGGGGGGGTGAGGAGCCACACTGGGTCATGGTTGGTGGCCAGACACTTCTTAACAGATGGAGTGAAAGCCTGGATACAGAACCTGGGCACTGAGGCCCCCGTGCTGGCATGCCCCATGTTGTGGGCACCCCATTCCCTGCACACCCCTTTTGGGCAGGAGTTCTTCAAGACCCAGGGCTGGGCTGCCTGGGGCTGACAACTGCGGGGTGCTCGGGGTGTCTCTGCCGGCCCGCAGGGTCACCGGTAATTGCTGACGCATGTGCCAGCAAGAGGCAGCAGCTGGATCGCCTTTGTTTGCTCCCAGCATGTCAGTCTTCATTAAACTGGAGGGGAATGAAAAAGGATTCACTTTTGTCCCAGCCTGAACATGGCAGCTGTTTAATTTCAATTAAGGTGGCACTGAAAAGAGTAGCATTACGGCAGTAATTAAAGTGAGACAACTCCCACCCCCAGGACTGCGCTCACACAGCAGAGGGGCCAATTTTGACCCCCCCATCCTTCCAGCACCAGCTGAGTATGGGCAGGCAGCTGTGGGTCAGGGCTGTGGGGCTGCCCCACATGCTCACAAGGAGCTGGAGCAGTGTTGAACCCTTCAAGGCAAGCGCTGCTTGCAGCTCAGCACGGTGTGGCACATCTGTGGTACAGAGCAGCATTGCCTGTGGCACCATGTAACATGGCACAGTGGAGCATACATGGCATGAGGCTTTGTCCCATAAAGGCTCTGTGCACTGTGGATACTTTGTGCCCTGGCTGTCACTGCCTGAACAAGACTGAAGTCTGCAGGGAAATTTTATTTCCTCACAGTGGCAGAAACTGTGGCCAAATTCAGTTGTGTTCTGGAAGCAGGGGGTTCAGCAGCTCTGCTCACAGGACTGTTGGTGCTGTGCCTGATCCCATCACCCGTGACTGTGACCTGCTGGTGGAGCAGGTTGTCATGGCAACTGATGATTTCTGCTATGGTACATCTGCGTTCACCTTCTGGGCCCAGTTCAGCCTTGGAAATATCCAGTTAAAACACGTACCTGTGAAACTGCACTGAGCGTTGGCAAGGGAGCACACACAGCCCAGAGAGTCCTGTGTCACCAGCGCAGGCAGCAGCAGGTCTATGCTCACACCACCACTGGCACCCAGAGCCCCGTGTCACTGATCTCACCTGGGCACTGTGGGGTGGCCCCAGGCAGGGCAGGGCAGGACAAGCGGACATGCACTCTCAGCCTTTCCTGTGCACACTCAGCCTC